CTTTTCACCGGAAATCCACCGGGATCAGTCTGAGATAGTGAGGCCTGCTTGCGGTAAGGACCCCAAGCCTCAGGCTAATGACCCAGACAAGGGAAATTTCAGGTAGGCTGATTGTACGGACCCAAAATATGAGCCCATGGCCGTTTGGAGCCCGTTTGGGAACTGGTGTCCCATGCTAAAGCCCTACTTAGCGGTTCATCAACCAATAGACCAGGGTTTTATACCAGGGGTGTATATACACAAATACATGTCGTGCAAGGAGTGCATATGATATATATATATATATACACATCTTCATACATTCAGGCTTGATCACGCACCCTTTCGGGGCGGCACAAGCCCCCTACAAGGCGGGTACCAGGATTTCTTGGGGCGTGTGGATGGTTTGGTGTCTGTCTATATCCAGCATCATCTGGATCCCAAAAAGATGGGGGGGGGGGGCAAGAAGAGGGCTGTAAACACTTTTTTTTGTAGTTAGGTTCCATGTGAATTTTGCAGAAAAGCCTAGACTGGGTTGCCCAAAAACGCGCCAGAACAACCCTTTGTGTCAGGCAGTGGCAGAGTACAGCGGCGAAGGCGTCGATTTGCAAGCCGAAGAACTCGTTCGGGTTCTGAGGTATGACCGCTAGGGGTCATCATGACCGCTTCTGGGGGCGATCAGAGTCTCAGAGTCAGACACCTGGCTTGCTTCCTTTTGAGCAACCACTTGGGTGACTTTGATGACGACTTTCGTTTTGGGGAAGCTGTCCACATTGAGGTTCTTCAAGAGATGGGGCACTGCGTCGCTTCCAACCAGGATCGTCTCCCCATTGGTGCGGGTTCAATTTTCAAGACGCCCCCTATGAATCCAGGGATTGGGGGGGGGGGGGTACGAGTTCTGGGTTCCCTGCATAGTTCACTTTGGGTCGTCCCCTCAACCCTTTACAGCCACCCCTTATGGAAGACCTTTTTTGCGGTGGGTCCAAAATTCCATCGTCCACTAGCCAAGACATCGGCAAGAGCGAAGGTGCGAACATCTTGTCGGGAGTGCAACCGTGCTACCCTAAATTCCTCCAGGTCGTCAGAGTTTTCTCGAGGATTTGTTCATACAAAGGGGCAATATGGGTAGTATATATCTTTGAATATGATTAAGAATGTACATATATATATATATACATGTATAATATGATGTATATTTGCATTTGAGAGGCTCAAATTTGTCCGGCTCTGGCTATTTTGGGGTCTCTAAACTCCCTCAGGTAGGCCAAGTGGACTGCTCTGCCAGGTCCGGACGAGAAGCCAAAGGACCGACTGGAAGCGCAGGCCGGGGTTTTAGGTGCGAGCAAAAGAGCGGGGGATGACCCTTTTCCCACTTGAGCCACAACCCGGGTAGCTGAAGGCTAGTAAGGGAAAATCCCAGCCATAAATGGGTGCGGCCGCCTTGGTACTGCGTTACATGGTTCTGGGCAATTTGACCATCTTTTACAGGATTTTAATTGTGACTCACTTACCAAACATGAAGGTTTCCAATCAACGGCCAGACAAGGGCCTAGGTTGTCCCCTACGATCAGAGGGGCTAAATTTAGATAAGATCTCGTCCTCAACACAAACATATTTAGTATTACATATTTACATATTTAATATATATATATATACATATTTACATGTCGTATGATCATTATTGGATTTGGGATCGAAGACCGAATCTACTAGTTTAGACAGTTTTTGAATAGCAGAGAGGGACCACAAGAATCATCTGCGCCATGGTTCAAAGACCTCTTCACTTGCGGCTTGGTAGACCGTGACCATGGCCCATATATGGAGTGCTTTTGAGACATGGCACATATGGGTTTGTTTTCTTTGAGGGGTGCCCCCTTCTTGGTTAGAGGGAAGCCAACATTTTCCGAGACAAACCCAGGCGAATCAGAGCCATAGGAGGCATAGCAGCCTAATCAATCGGGCCAGAGGCATTGCGTGTCATGGGACCCACGGTGAAGCCTTTGGAGTTGGCTCGTCAGTATTTGAATGGGAAGATTCTTTGGATTAAGTCGACCAACTCCCAAGAGTGGAAAGTCAGTTCGGTTCTGCTCTCGTTGTCCTTTTGCTCTCGATGCATCACATGATTTTGAGGCTCTTTGGAGCCACCTGGATATTCCTGCCTCATTCGGTCGCCAAGCAAAACCGCCGATTGCACATGTGGGTGTGTGCTGTGTGACAGGTGCCACGAGAGGAAGTGCAAACCTCACCGGCCGAGGCAGGACTTGGTTAGAATCAGCGCTTTTGATTGCAAAGCGCTCTGTTTAAAGGGGCTTGGCCAGAATTTGCCTGCGAACATGCTGAACACATCGCTTCAAATCGCTTTCGATGGCACAGATGCGGCTGCATGCATTATATAGTCTTCAGAACCAGTTGTTTGGCGTATGACCAGGCGAAAGAGCCAGAACCGGCTGCAGGGGCACCTGAGGCAGGATGGAGACCAAATGGCTACTTGTCGGCCCTCAGATAATTTGTCGGCCCAATGTGACAATTCGCGCTTTTGATGTAAGGTTTGCATTGCCAACGCCCCAAGGAGTACTGTACTCCTCATTGCCACTAAAAACAGCGGGAACTGAAGCTGCGTCGAACTGTTCTGACAGCGGGGAGCTCTGAAGGCAACAGACTCGCGCTCGGTCCCTCCTCGAAGTCTGCTAGGGGCTCGCCATAACAAGGGGTCCGTTTGTGGACCGAGTCAAACATCCTGATAACCACCCTGCGCGTTGGGGTACGCAGCATTACCGGTTGTCCACTACACCAGTGGATTACAGCATTGGGGAATTGACTGCCCTTTTGGCATTGCGGTGTTTCCAGAGAACACCTAGTTATTGCGAACTTGCTAGATCATGTCCAAAGGGTGCAATTCCAGCGTGAAACACAAATGCCCTTAGAATTTTCGCGCTTGGCTAGGGCCCCTTGGTGCTTTATTGTGATCACTCAATATATCGATCCAAAAGTTCTTTTATTTAGGTAAAATAAACACCTAGAGCAGGACATCCTCCAGGAAATCCTCTTGTTGGGTGGGCATATGGCCCATTCCCTGTAGACATTCCCGTGGCTGATTGTTAAACGAGAACACACTTTTTGGCAGCTTTAGACGAAAAGAGGCGCCTTGAAGTGACACGAGCAGTCTCAAAGTCCAGCTGCGTAGGCTTTCAAATGCAGTGCAATTCTTTCGCGACTGCGCAGATTGCTTCGTATCTAGGAATCTAGGCCTATTCCTATGTTCAATGGATTTAAAGCAGTGTTGTGATTGATGACCTCTCTAGAGATTCCCCATTTGTTCAACCATTGTTCTTTTCAAACACCTCTTTCCTTGGGGTTTGGGGGGTTTTCTGGAAAGACAGCAGCAGGAAAAAGGGGACGTTGGTGGCCAGTCGGCTTTACTTGACTGGCAGACACCGGGTGCAGGGGTTCTGGATGCAGGCGAAAAAGCCGAAAGAACAAGCTCTGGCGCTGCCAGCGAAAGAGACGGAAGAACAAGCTCTACTGGCGGAGGCAAGATGGAACCTTTAGCACAGCAAGAAAGCAACATGTGCAGGGGGTTCTGCCAGTGTCCGCCCAAAGCGTTTTCGTCTCCGAAGAATTGCTCTTGGGATTTCCACTGTGATGTATCCATCCAGGCTTCTTTTGGTAGCGAGGGCTTTGCCACAGAGCTTCCAACAACGAATTTCTTGGGTTGTACCGGGTTGCTCCAAACCTCAAAAGAGTACCAAACCAGAAAAGCAGATAAGTGGTTGGTTCTCCTTTTGTTTTCCTTGGCCAGTTTCCTTCCCTTTTGTCAGAAAGAGCAACTCTGTCACAAGTTGTTCCTTGTGACTGACCTGGGTGCAGGAAAACGAGCCAGAAGGACCAGCTCCACCTGAGGCAAAGCTGGGTTTCCTGTGCAACCTGTTCAAGCAGCCATTCCCTGGTCCACTCAACAAGGGACACCGTGGAAACCGTAAGGAGGCTTCTTAAACATAGCGTGAAAGGGATGGATCGTTTTGCAAATCTCCCAGCCCTATTTACCACGTAATCCTGCGTGTCAGGGCAGGGCAAGGAGCGAAAACATTTCACCCAAACCTAAGAACACCATTCCAAAAGAGAGGTCTTTGCAGATGGAATGTTTGTTGATTCCTCTGAACAAGTTACCTCAAACAGTCCACCGAGTGTAAAAGGAGCCGGGTCCGGGCAAAAGTCAATTCTGAAAAGGGTAAAGTGCCTGAAACAATGGAAGGCCACCCGCAACCAAAAGATGTTTGGCAGTGCGGCTCCGAGCCAATGACGAAAACCCAAGTGTAGAAAGAGTTCCGGTTCCCTTGATTATTTTTAAGTTTCTACCCGAATCAGGTCTTTGAAGCAACCTGAAGCTTGGCCAAGATCTGTTCGAACAACCATCCCCTGGTGCGTGTCCTTAAAAAGAAAACCAACAGGAGGTGTCTTAAACATAGGCACAGGTGTTTCACGTCTGGGTTTCCAGGGGTCAGGCGCACCTCAAGGGCGATCCGGATCGGTTTGATGGACATCCGCTGCGCGGAAGTCAAACGGAAACCACTGGTAGCACCTGCTGAGTTGTAAGTTGTTTGTTGGCACCTCCTCCTTCAACAGCATCGCAAACAAAGGACATGTGATACGTGGACCAGAATCTGATGAAATCTGATGTGTGCTGCACAGATTTGAGCTAAGTTGTGTTGTAAACCCACCTTTGAGGTTACATGTTCCTCTCTCAAATGCTGATTTTTAGGGCCATGGCAAGGGGCGGCATGGGGCTCATGGCCCATTTCGCCGCGAAGACGTCAGGTGGCCGCCTCCCCAGCGGTCTACAGCAACCAGTGGAAGGCTTCCGAGAAGAGCCCGGGGCCCTGGCCAGCGAGATGCGTGGCGAACGAAGGCGGGGGTCCCAAAAGGAAGTCGGGTCCCTTGCCCTCGGGTTTTCTTGCTCGGGTCCCTGGATTTGAGTCACCTGTTGGGCCACCAGCTAGGCAAGCAAGAAGGCCTGAAGGGTGATTCGAGAGATACCCTCACATTGCTGAGCCACACACAAATTCGACTCAAAAATAATCGGCTCCTTTTTGCACCTTTCGGGCCACTGGTTGCAACTAGGGACAGCGGGCCAGAGAACAAAGGGAGAGACCAAGTTGAACATGGCTGCCCACATTAAGCTACCGGGCAAGGACAACTGGAACTTGTACGTCGAGGGGTTTTGGCCGCGTCCGCCTTTGCCAATTGCTGCCTTTTCCGCCATGGCCGAATAGTGATTTCGTGACCATTGGCGATCTGGGCATTGCACATGTCACCCTTACAAACCGACAATCGTGGGAATTCAGGAACATTGCACCCCAGGTGCCATTCTTAGAGGGGCCCATTCACTTTTTCCCCAACAGCTGCAAGCTTCGGGGCCAGATGTGCTCCGGAGTGGTCCGGAGATCTGTGGGGTCCTCCTTGAGAGAAAGACCGCCGCAGCGAGCGCTCAGGCGACCCCTCACCCACGTCGCCCAGCGAAGCCTCTGTGACGGAGGCAGGGGGCACTTTAAAGTTCGCAGACCCGGGCTACGCTTTGCAAAGACTTGAGCATCGAAAACCAAAACCTCCGAAAGGCGCGGTAGAAGATCATCCAACCGCCCGCGAGGTCAAGCCACGGCCAGAGAGGCCAGAGATGGTCCTAGACATCGCCAGCCCAGAGGCCGGCGATGATCGCGAAAAAGGCCATGAAGGCCCTTACCCGGAAATCCAATCCTGATTTCAGATGTGGACATTCTCGTACTGTTTGCATCAATTGATCTAGGAGAGTCCGGAACGCCACACATCTTTTATTGCTTTATTTTGAGGCACGCCTTCAAGAAGGCATTCCTGTAAACCCTTGGCGCGCAGGCTGCGCGGGCCTTGCTGGACATGGTCTATGGCCTGGGCAGCGAGTACCACATTCACAGCGATGAGGCGGCACAAGGATGCGCTCACCTGGTGTGTCCTGCACGGGGGGACGCCCCCTCTGATTTAAGATTTTGGAATGATTGTGGAATTTGTTGATCCTTCAAAATGATAAGGGCGTAAACCCTTTTTATGATGTCCACTGAGGGTCCCGGAAATCCCCTTGTACAAATCTGCGTGTTTTTTCAGTGATGTCCACCAAAGCGTCCCGAATCAACATTTACCCAATTATTATAGAGGGCTTACAAAGGGATCTGTGCGGCGTCCCGGATTTGAAGTTGCTTTCTCGGGGGTCTCTACATTCAGGTTGAATGAAATTTGCTTAGATGCATTCACTCCTTCTGGCACCTTGTTTTTGTTGTCCTCACCAGGAGCTGCAAAGATCATCCCCCGTTTTGGTATGGCTGCTTGGATGTATGACTTCCGCAGAGAGTGAGAAGCCCAATGGGAAACCACCGTTTCTCCGTACAAGAACTTGCCTTCATGAGGCTAGCTCGTTTCGTTCAGCTTTGCTTCCAGATCCTTTGTCCTCGAGTTTATTTCTTGGGGGTTTCCTGGGCGGGAACACGCCCCCTATGAAAATAGACTGGAATTGGTGCATGCGCAGTTTAGGAGGACACCCCGGACCCGGTGGGAAAAGGGTTCCCCCCTCCCCATTTGCGGCTCATGGGCTCCCCGTTTTCTTTCCCTAGGCGCTTTGACTCGCCATCTTTCGGAGAGGCCAATTTCCTTTTGAAGGCCGTGTTGGCAGGGAGAGGAAACTCGCCGTGACCAAAAGGTGGGGATCCCTTCTGGCTCACAGCTCCCATGTGAAGCCAAAAAATGGTGTCATCGTCTGGCTGCAAACGGCTCTTGTTTGAAGCGACAGGGGTAGATATTGTGGGCCTTTGGGCACATAGCTTGGCAACAAACGCTTTTGCCGAAGCTCTTGGGAAGGCCAACGAAGACGTGCTGCGGCTGTCGAGGCTGCTGGATGTCCCTTGCCTCCAGGACGAAGACCCTCCGGGGGCTCGAAGTGGGGCAAAGGGAAAAGCAACGTGCAGGAAAAGGCGCCTTGTTTATTCATCCAAGGGATTGGCGTACAGCGACCCGTTGGAGTTGCATTTATCCTTTGAGCGGCTGCCGATTCATCCATTCCGGGAGAGACCCTCAATTGGGCTTCAGCTTTGCCTGGCTGGCGGACCCCTGGCCCCCAGCGCAAGTTGTGTGTGTGTGTGTGTTTTTGGAAGGGAATTGTGCATCCATACTCTTGACGTGTTGCGTGATATCGGGAAATGGGCTTGCAATTTGTTTTCACTCTATTTGACCAACGCCTTTTGGCCTGGAAACACTGGCAACAAGTCAAAGATCAACCTAGCTCAGCCAAATTGGTGGGTTTTCCGTTGGTCTTTGATCTGATTTCTTCGTTCAGGGGGAAGAGTGCGTACATATTATAATATATGTATATATACAGACATGCATACACACCCCGCATATGAATACATATGTACTGTGACTAGCTGCTGTGGATGCCATTCAACCCCCTTGGCGGTATGGCATGGGAAACTGCCTTGGAGGAGCTTGCCACCAGGTACCTCGCCGAGAACCTGACCACGGAGAATGCGTGGTGCTCGAGCCTGCGCAACATATCCTATGAGGGCGTGGGTCCAAATTTTCAGCCACTAGGGGACCGCAGGTTTTAGTCCATGTTGCCAAATAAACCAGGGTTCCATTTTGGGGTTACCCTATTTTTGACCCACAGCCATGAGGGTTCACTGAGAAAGAGCCCGTTTACGGTGAGCTCACATGGGGTGAAAAACGAGCTCACAGTGATGATGACCCCTTACTTGGGGATCCCGTATTTCCTTTTTTGGAATGATTGCACAATTGGCAGATGATGTGAGCAATGGTCAATCTTCGTCGACATCTAGGTGAAGGGCATGACATGGGTCACTCACCAAAAGACTGCGAGGGAATCAGGACCTCACACTTGTTTCGATCAACCTTTCGACAAGGGGCAGCCGCTGATTTCGCGGGAAGCGTACAAGAAACTGCCAAAGGACTTGCTGGTGCTCAGGGAATGACCTTCCGGGCAATGAACCTAGGGGTTCCCCAAGGGAAACCATAGGTGGTTTTGCTCGGGATCCTTCCAACTGATTCCCTGCCTATCGAACCAGCACGAAAATGGCTGCTTTCGATGCTCTCGGCGTGAGGCTGTGGCGCGCCTACAGACCTGTCGCCAGTTCGGGCTGGAGGAAATGCTCATCGGCATTTTTGAAGGGCGGTGGGAACCAGTTTGGTGGACGTGCGGGCATGTCGGGTACCTGTTTTGGTATTGTGGTATTGGTTTAAACTCCATTTTGGTTTGGTCCTATGTCTGACACATACCCACGATTTGTTAGCTTGGGATATATTTGGCGGACCCTAATCAAGGGCTTCGTTTTCTCTTGGAGAAGAAACAACATATAGCGGGTCCAACCATTGACGGGAGATCTACACACGAGCCAACTATTTTTGCAAACAAGTTTTGGACGGCAATTGGCCTGACCACGTTTCTTCCTGCAGAGCATTCAAGTTGGGGCCAGTGACGATGCAGAAGTCTGATGGTTCTTTTCCAGGCCTTTGGCGGTCATTTTCCGAGGCGGACCCTTGGAGAGTGGGGAGTGGGGACGATGCAGCTAGAAGCAAACCCAGGATTGATCGGTCCTTCTGCCGAAAAACAAATGAACGAAGTTAGCCTTTTACTGGGTGCTAACTACACCGCATTCGTGAATTTCCGCACTAAAGGACACAACAAGGGGATAGTTGTTTTCCCGGCGCTGTTTTTTTGACGCGCAGAGTACGCATTTTGCGGATCCGTTGCGATCCTCGGCGAGCGAACGCTACATCTTGCCCACTTGCAAAGGGGGTGTCTCCTTTTGGCTATCGCAGCATGTTCTTTTTCTTAACGGCTAACTCTTTGAGCTGGAAGTGACTCCCGCAACGAAAGGCGCCTTTTTCGGCTATCAACGACCTTCCCTTTAAGATCGCTCCCCTTCCAAAAAAGGTGCGCCCTTTTTCGACCAGAGGTCTGGGATGTCCACTGGCGCTACTTGGGATGGGGAGATTTGACAGTTGTGCGGGGCTTGCTTTTTTGTTGGTCTTTTTCGGCGCCCAGTATTAGTATAGGTTTCAATTTGGTCAAAGGACAAGCTGATCCTTTCGGTAGGTTCTTCCTTCAAGTGCATCAAACAAACCACCAGGCTGTTTATCTTTTCTTGGGGGTGGTGTCTTTTTGTTTGACAAACGCGTTGTCTTTTGCCAACCTGCGATCTACCCAAATCACACCGCGAGCGAGATGCTTCGTTTCTTTGAGAGCGGGTCCAGGTGTGGGTCAAATTAAACCACCAGGGGACCACAGGTTTTGGTCCATGTTGCCACTTACCAGGGCTCCATTTTGGGGCTACCCTATTTTTGACCACCACAGCCAAGTGCTGAGGTACGAAGCCATCGAGCAGGAGGTTGTCATGAATCGGGAGGCGCTGGAGCAAGTGGCCGCGGAGGAGGAGGCGGCCGCTTCGGTGTCAAACAGCCCTGGGATTTGGACGCCTGGGCGATAGCGAGGCACCCTCCAACAGGCACACGGCACGTTTGCGCGTGCAAGAGGACACCAGGCAAGGGAAGATATGTGTGATTTCTTGGAGGTTCAAGCTACTTAGCAAGTACTTGCTTTTTGTTTGCATGGTTGTACAAGTCGGCAGTTTCTCAGTTCGGACCATGGACCTTAGTCACTTTTGGGTTCTGGATCACTTGGGTCGTTCACAAGAAGCTTGGGGCTACGGAATACTTAGGAGTCCCTGTTGACGTCTATGGCTTTTTGTATTTTAGGGTATAGGCCAAATATGAAGCAGAATCAGAAACTCGTATGTTTGGTGCACTGGATAGGATTTTCGCAGGAATTGAAGGCGACTCCTTTTTTAATATGCACTTTTTGGACTTTTGCGGGGATTCCCCACTCCCAAGGATGTGGGTACGTGCAAAAGTAAGGGGACACCAAATATGTTGGCTCTCCTTTTGGTTTGCCTTTCAAAGCACCACGAAAAGGGCACCCTCAAGCAAACGCAGACGGCAAGGGCATGCCAACAACAGGCGCCAGAATCAAAGGGTTTGGTTGCTTTCCTTGGAGCCTCTTCGGGAAATCCTTATCGAGCCTCAAAAGCCGGACACTGTACAGTTTGGTGGCTGAAACTGGCAGGTGATGAAGCACCCAGCGATTCTTCAGTCTCTGCTGGTGCGCTCTGCACGGATGCACCGACCAAGCGGGGGCCCCCGAGGGTTTCGAACAGCACCGCTTTCCTGCCGGGGATGGGGGTCGATACAACTTGGCAGTTTGTGAGCCATCTGCTTCCTTGGACTTTCAGACTTTTTGGCGCGAGGGATGTATGACGTCTCCTTTGGCAACGAACCACTTGAGTACATACATTAGCACGCAGGAAGTGGTGACAGCTGTGCCGAGCATTGCAACATGCCAACAGCCGACAATGCCACCTCCCACCGAAGACCAGCCTGGAAAGAAAGTGAGCTACATCATGTTACCTCCGCAGTCAGGACTCGCAAAGGAGCTGGGGAAATCTTGTTTTTTGCGGGTACCCTGTTTCCCTGGTTTCGAGGGAACCCGAAAGGGAACCCGTTTGAAACCAGGTGTCCGAGTTCTCGGCAGACAGGGCCCGCAGGTGCACTTCCGATGGTTTCTGAACCCCTTCAGATGGTTTGACTTGGCGTGTAAGCCCCCCCCCAAAAAAAAACAACAACAGGCGCATCTGCCCTCAAAAAATGCGACCACTTTGAGCGACCCAGTTGGAGACGGGGTTGGAGTACCCACAAAATGCCCACCAATCAGGAAAGCCCTAAATGAAGATGGAAACAGATCGGACGATGGAGGTTCATAAGTTGGTTCTTGGATCTCTTGTGAACTTAGTTGACCCTGTTCGTAACACTTTGCAAGGGCTAGTAAGCCTTAACAAGCCTTAGAGCAAGATTGTTGTTTGAAGCCATTCGTGAGCTTAGCAAAGATCTTACTGATGTTCAGCCCCAGCGCACAAAAGCTGCCCATGCCCTAGCAAAATGGGGGTGTGTTTAGCCTTGCTGAGCGGTTTTGAGTCTTTCCGACGGGTCAGGAAGAGGGGTCAAATACCGAATCACGGTGCTTCCCAATGTCACTGTCTAAACATGCAATCAAAAAACGAGCGCTCGGTAGCACTCAGGAACACTCAGAAGCTCTCAGTAGCACCCGACAGCACTGCATAAAATTCAGCCCTTGCACCCATTCACTATGTTTTGTGGGGGAAACGAGTTGAGTTTTTGTTTTGTGGCACCAGAAACGGACATGGAAGTGAATCGTGTGCTTCAGGTGCTTTGCAGTGGGAATGAAGGAATGCCCCCCGACTCAACTGATGGTTTCCCTTCAAGGGGATCCCCTTTCAGTTAATCCCCGAACCTTGATTCCCTGGACAAGCAAGCTTCCGGGGCTCCTCCGTGTCTCTTTTTGGGCCCTGCAAAAGTGGTTTCAATGGACATCTGTAAACACTTGCTGGTGCTCAGTGGGGAATGAGTTGGAATGACCCCTGCAAACCATCCAATTGGTGGTGTCCTTTACTCGGGAATCCCCAGGTTCATTCCATGTCTCATTCCCTACCTATCGCACCAGCAGAACGTTCCGCCCAGTGAAGCGCGGGCTGCCGGAGAGTCAAGCGCCCGGAGCCCAGTGTGGAACTTCTATCCGTGGTGCGACATGTTTGTGTTGATATGCAAAAGGTCATGGCAAATTTGAAGGGAAAATACTTTTCAAACCAAGGTTAGCTTGAACTACCCCGGCTACACCCAGCCGTTCCATGGGTTCAATCCTCCAAAATATGTTTTTTTTTTAGGTTTCTTTTTTGGAGGGGGTCCATCAAGCATGTTCTGCAAGAACACGATTTGAGTCAGGGGTCAAAGTCATTACACCCTCACAAGGTAGGGTGGAGACGCACATTGTCTCAGCATGTGTGTGGCGGGTTCCTCATGGAATCAAACCCAAAAGAGGATCCTGAATGGATTGAAAAGGCTTTTCAGGGTGTGCCTTTTCACGTTCCTCCGTGTTCCTTCCATTTGCTTGATAATATTGTTTATTATCCCCTGTTGGTCCACACACACACAAAACACACATAACACACATAACCACACAAGCACACAACAACACAACACACACACACACAACAAACAAAGCACACAAACACACCGTCCACCATTCAAAAGCTGAATGCATTGTTGAACCCTCGGATTGCAATGCTGATGCTATGCGCCTATCAAGCCCAGCGGTTTTAGGCCCGGTCAGGGGGTCCGGTCAGCCCCCAGGTTGAAAGTGCGACCCGAGAAGATGCCGAAGGCGCAGAGAACCAGACGGGTCCTGGAGAACTTCAGCAATCTCGCGGTAAGCGAAAGTGACTGTTCAAACCCAGGTTGCCACTTGCAAGCTTGGCCCTTGAAACGTTTTTTTCAGGAGAAAAGAGGGACCTGCAGTTGGTTAACGCTTTGGGGGGGGGCGAATTCCCCCCAAAGAAGGGGTTCCTTGGCTTGCCGAAATCAACACCAATTCGGGTAGGAGGTCAGAACTGGGGACTGTCACGAAAAATGCGGAGGGCTTGACGCTCCGTTTTGGGTCAACACCTAGCACCATTGGTCATGACGTCGAGGCCTTTCCCGAACCCGTGTGTGTGTGTGTGTGTGGGCATCGAAAGCTGATGGACTTGGTATTCTGGGAGCTCTTTTGAAATTATGTGTCCTCTTGAGGTTTACTAAATATGGACCAGACACAACAATTCTTTTTGGGGGCAACCGCCGAGGTATGGCATTTGACTTCTTGACTGGCCAATATATCTGTTTTGCCATCCAGCAGCAAACATTGCCTCGTTCATCTGCGCTTGCGTTTGTTTCCCGGGTGTATTGGATTTTGTAGCGTTGCAAGTAACTTCCAAAGATCCAAAGACATCAAACAGCGAGTTCCATTTGGTGTCCCTTTCGAGCCAAGGGGAGTGGGGTGTTTGGGACCTCACCCATGAAGTTGTTCCTCTTCCTGAGGGTCCTTGGTGCCTTTTGAGGCGGTACTTTGACCCTTTTGAACCCCTCCAAAACCAGCCCCAAAGAGGTACTCCTTCTAAGTTTCATAGGGAGTTCTATACTTTTGTTCGGTGAATCGATAAACATCAACTTAATGGCGAGGCTTTTGCCGGTCTGCTTCTCTCGATTCGAGGTCGCGTATCTTCAGGTATCTTCAAGCCGCGGCGGTGCTTGAACCGCGGGCTGCCGCAGTGGCGAAAATTCCTGCATGTGCATTGCTCAGTTTTCTAGGGGTTGATTCCCCATTCTGTTCAGCCATTGTTCTTTTCAAAAACCAGATCCATTTCTGGAGGGTTTTGGGTGGTTGTCTAGAAAGAAGGGATCCCTGGAAAGAATGGGGAAGTTACCCCTAGAAGTTTTGGAAGCTTGGGTGTGCTCCTGCCAGCTCCCCCCGACTGCTTGAATCCCCAGAAGAAGCATCCCAAGGTGTGGGAACAAGCGCAGTCTGGGCGGGTGCTCCTGAGCATAATTCATTTCTCGGAGAGGTTTCTGTGCTGCGGGGGGAATAAATTCCTTGGAACTACCCTCCCTCCTGACGAGCCAGACAGAGGGTCCCTTTGCGAACGGATCTTTCCGAGGAGCTTGATAGGGGGTCCCTTCAAGAGGAAATTGAACGAGTACCCTCCTACAATTCTTAGGTTTGTGGGGAGGAATGGTAGCCGCCAACTCAAAGGCACGTGGAGTTGCCTTGCACGAGCTCTTTCCTCCCGCGGCGTCTAATTCGCAACGATCCCTGCGCATTGCAAGAGAAAGGGGTGCGTGACACTTGCAAGTCAACTTGCAAGTATGAAACGGTTTGTGTCCAGGTCATTGCAGGTAAGCCAACCATTTGCCACCAAAAGGTGAACTTCGCCCATCCAGGTGAAGCACTAGGCTGGGAACAACCAACTCTTCATGTTTCGTGGCTTCCCGAAGGGTGCCAGGGACTGGTTGTTCGAACAAATTTTCACTCTGACCCCAAGGCTTCCCCAGCTGTTTGTGGATGGACGCAATCCATTTCACGCACCACTTTGAAACCATGGGAAACCCATTGTTTGTTGGTATGTGCACGGGAATCATTCCAGGGTTTCTCAGGTGGTGCAGGATTTCGTCCATCCAAAGTATTTTCCGAAGGCTTGCCAGGTTGCCAAAGAGAAGAGAAGGCTTTTGCAGCCAGAAGTGCAAAGTTCTTTTTCGAGCTTGCAATATGTGGGTTTTGCACCAGAATGGCGGGATCAAGAGCCATGTACGATTTTGCAGCCGAAGCACAAGGCCACTTTCTTGCTGAACGAACCAAACGGACGATGGCCAACAGGTGCTTGGTACTGGCGCGTGATGCGTCTCATTGCAGCGGACTCCCTTTTGGTTGGTGTTTAAAATCATATTCACACGGGGTACATGTCACCATGGGGACGTCCCCGGGACGTCCCCCAAACCTTTTGGTTTCCCTTGAAGCAACCCCAAAGAAGGGTACCCTGAAAGCTAAGACTCACGTATGAGCATGGGACTATCGCACCCTTTTGCAAAGGGCACCAACTTGTCACTTCTCAACAAAAAGGGGTCTGCATGCTGAGATACCGCGCAAGTATCACGTGCAACAGGGCGACTTGTGCCATGGTCAAATGTCCCTTTTACCTAGCGTTGGTAGGAATGGTTACAAAGCCTTTCGGGATTTGCACAACCATTGTCCTGATAAAGACCACACTTGACTTTGACGCGACCATGGCCCTCTTTGGCTGCAGCTCGGGAAGGAGGCCGCGCTTGCCGAGCCGGCCGCGCTTGCGGTGAGCTTGCCGCAGTCCAGGCGGCCACAAACCCAGTGAAACAAAGCTGGCCGAAGGTCTTTCCGATCCCCTGCCTTTTGTTCTTGGAAGCACTATAGCTCTTGGAAGGTTACTTGGGGACAGTTCCCCCTTACAGTTTCGGCAAGAACGCTCTTTGTTCTTTGGGCTTGGGGTAGACTCCTTCAACAGGTTTTGAGTGTGGCTCAACTCTTCTCTTGACAAACGGCTCCGAAATCCCTTGGGGTCCTAAACGGGTGCTTTCAAAGGGGCCCAGCCTGCACGGACAATCGTAGCATCCGAAAGGAACCCACTATAGTGCGTGACCCAGTTTGGGTTTACTCCATTTTACCATTGAGCTTCCCCGTTTTGGACGCTTTCCTTCAAGCAATTATGGTGCTGAGCCTCAAAAAGGACACACCGACTAGCCTGCGAAGGGCTTGCACCGCTTCGCAGGTCATGTCGCGGATCGGCACCTGCAATTTGCGGGAGAAGGATAAGAGCTTCAACACCCAGGACGTGTCACTGACAATACGTGGAGTTTCCTCAGAAACTGCATTTTTTTTTTTTTTGGGGGGGGGGGGATAAACTAAACAAAGACGAGAGTCAGAACTGAAACATTATGTGTACCCCAGATGCGGGCCAAGAATATGGGGATGTGTCAAAATAGGGGGGCCTCAAAGTGATTGCTTTTCTTTTGGTTAGCCTTTAAGCCAACCCCAAACAGGCACCCTCAAAGAAACACAAACTCATTACCAGCTGGTTCTCAGTAAGGAGGCTTACTTGCTGGTTAGCAAGCTGAGCTTGGTATGTACTTCCCTTTGCAGGCAAGCTTAGCCCATCTAGCTATTTACATCATCCCGAGCTCAGCTCAAAATGAGTGTGTCTTTTTTGAGGGTGCGACTGGTTTGGTGGGTTTGGAGGGAGGTAACACAACCTTGTTGGGATTCCCCAATTTCAAGAGACACCCAAATTGTCACTTTTGGGGGAAGATTATTTTAGCAATAAACCAGGCTAGGAGCCCGAGTCTTGGCCAACCCCCGCACCTCTGTGGCTTCAGTAGCAGGGCTTGTGGTTGTAGTGCTGGGGGTTGAGATCCGGTGATGAAATCGGGGCCAGCGAATATCCAAGAGGGGCCAGCATTGCAAGCAACCGGTTCTGTATCAACGTCCACAAGCCGACTTTGGAAGACAAACCACTCCCATCCCGGGCGGAAGCTAACGAGCTGTCCGACGAGCTACCCTTTGTATTCCTCGAGCTACTTAATCTTGGTTTACCTCTTGGGTTAGCCGTGCCGATTTCTGCCGAATTCCCTTTGGAGTTTCTTATTTTGATGTCCTTTGTTCTTGTCTTGCTGTTGCTCAGCAGGGAACGAGAAATGGAACGAACCTGGGGATTCCCCAATAAAGGAAACCACATCAGATACGCTCCCACCAACTAACATGGAAGTGCAAAAAGGCCCTTTCCAAGAGGAAAGTAGTCTTTCTACAGGGGTCTGTGCACTTCCATGTTAGCTGGTGGCAGGGTATTATTCTTTTATTCATTCCACTTCTCGTTCCCTGCCTCTCTCGCCAGCAATCGTCAAGTGGTTTCCTTCTGGCCCATTCCCAGGAAGAGACCTGGCGCCAGACCTGCGAGAAGGAGCGTTTCGTGGAGGCGCCCGAAGGAGATTTCGAGGGGTGTAGCTCAAAAAACGCGGTGGGGGGGGGGGGGGAGGGAGGGACGTGATGGGAGGCTGGGCTTTTCTCCATGCCTCCCGTTTTTGTGTGCGGTTGATTATTGAGTGCTTGAATCACCAATTGCGAGTGGCTCTTGTAGAGCTTCTTGAGAGCAGACCTTACAGGATCGCTTTGTGAATTGGGCGGGCCTCTGCAGGGTCAGCCTCACTAAACGTGGAGAGGTCCAAAAAAGGGATTCCTGGGAGGCTTGGATCTCAGAAAAGCCTGCAGAGGTTCCAAAAAGGACACCACAACCATTTCCAAGACTCCGCTGGGCGAGGCCAAAGACCCCCCAGGTTTGGTTGTTTTGGCTTTTTGGACCTCTGCAGACTTTGTTGAGGTCAGGGCCTGCCAGGATTGGATTCTTTGGGACCTGGGAGGCTCTGAGCTGAAACTGGAGAGGCCCCAACAAAAAAATAGTACCCAACCCCCAGGACTCTTGGGCTGGGTGAGCTATTCTTTCTTTTGTTTGACCTCCGCAGAAGTTTGAGGTCAGGGCCTCTCCACGGTTTGTGAGGCTGACCTCAGATAAAACACAAAAAACAACTGCACCTACCGAACCCCCCTGATTGCCATACCGCTGCCGTGTTCAACCGATTCATTAGGCGGGTTATATAATCATCCTTAGGGGAACCAGGGCTTGGCTGACTATGCTGACTTGTTACCGTTGGTGAACATCCAAGGGATGAGTCCCATCAACCCGTTGATGAAGTCTTGGCACTAACTCCCCAAAGGCTTTGCCGATTTGGTGAAACTAGCGGTTGGACGAAGTTCCACAGACCCGATCTGTCGCAACTCAGTTTGCCCTTGGATTGGTTTGCTTTCCTTCCCCCCCCCCCCCCGCCCCCCGCCCCGCCCGATTGCGGTGTTTGCGCACTTTGCAAAGGGGTCATTTTCAATCACTTGGGTCTTCGGGCGCAACAGATAAGCTCAGTCCTTGAGCGGAGGAAGTCGACGTCAACTTTACTTTGCCTCAAATGAACTCCAAACGTGGCTGCCTCGGTTGGTCATGAATAGGGCTATAAGCACCGTAAACTCCATGTGGGAGGTTCATGCCCTGAAAAAACAACCGAACAAGGGGAAGCTAGCTGACCCTGGATGCACGTCCAGGCAGACATAAACCTAGAGGTTCCTCAAAGGTGAATCAACCCTTGGTTTGTCCAATTGTGTCGCACAAAATTGGGTTTCTCGAAGCTTTTGACAGACATCTCAAGCTGGTTGGTTAAAAGGGAGCCCCCGGATTCTTGGGGCTTCTTGGGGGGTTTATCCCGAAACCACCAAACGTGGAAAAACCACCAAACGTGGAATCAACCCCTTTTGTTGTCTTTTTTGTTTGGGGCGGGTCCAATCGATGGTTTCTTCTTGTTCCCATTGCCAGGTTTTGGCACATCCGCCTCAGACTACCTTCCACGACGTGGCGGCATCGCCCGGCAGCCCTAGCCTTCACAGGGTCTTCCGGCTTTTTGTATGGCTAAGTCTCCTCATGAGATTAGGAACGCCAAAATCGGGGGGGATGCGTCGCTTATGTGTATATATATATATATAATATATATATATATATATATGTACATAGTGTATGTTGCAAGCCCAAAAAGGTGAAGGACATGGAACAAAATCACGTGGTTCTGAAAAGGGTTTCCAGGAATTGGTTTGGCTCTGGTGGGTTTGCTTGCACCAATCACAACGCCTTTGGGGGAGAGGGAGGCGGTAGTAAAAGTTAGTATTAGACACCCGTGCAGAATCGCTCTAACCGATAGGAACAAGCGTTTTGAGCGGGTTTAAGGGGAAACAACGGGGAAGACACATTGTGCGGATACATGCTACGCTTGTGTTTGAGTTTCTGCGGAAGTTGGCCATGGTTGACGCTGGTGCGGTTTAACATCCCTCCCCACTTTGGATGGACAAATTCCGGTACCAGTTGGCATGAATGAACCCCATGAATGCAGGGATTCACCACCCACGAACTTGTGCATCATTTTCCACAGTGGCTGATCTGGAATCGAGGGTTCTTTTTTTGTTTGCATAGAGTTTCTTGGTTAGTCAGTGGGGGTAGTCCATCAGTGTAATATGGTCCCTTTAAACAAACCCCAAAATGAGACCCTCAAACAAACAGACTTACACGCTCACGCACTCAAAGGCTCGCACAATCACACACTCACACGCTCACACAATCACACGCTCACACGCACACAAAAACGCAGGTTTCATGTTGGTGGCAGGGTAATAGGGGCTAGATAATTAGATTTAGAGTTGGATTGTGGGCTACTTCAAAAGCAAAAGTCACGATAAGCCAAAGATGTGTGATTGCATAGCGCTATTTTTTTGATAGCCCAGTTTTTGCCCATGGCTCCAAATCAATAGCTGGCCGCTGGGTGTTTGCTAGTGCGCAGTTGCCATTTGGACGGGTCTCCCCGTGCATCTTGTTACAGGGCCAAGTCCGACTTCGTGTCCTGGGGAGGGGTAAGGGGAGCAGTTGCAAGTATGGAGCATTTCTTATGTCCAACACGTCGTCTCTTGCTGGTGTTCATCTTGTTACAGGGCCAAGTCCGACTTCGTGTCCTGGGGAGGGGTAAGGGGAGCAGTTGCAAGTATGGAGCATTTCTTATGTCCAACACGTCGTCTCTTGCTGGTGGGCAAGTAGGTATACATATATATATACATATATATGTATGTATATATGTATGTATGTATGTATATATATATATATATATACATAGATGTGTTTTTCCCCACGGATTCGGAGGTTTGTGACCAAGGTTTCTCTTCGCTCGTCCCTCGCCAGATCAGGTAGCTCAGCCAGCGCGGTCGTGCCGCAGCAGCCTGTTCCACTTTTTGGTCAAAGCTGCACACAAACACACACACTCACATACATACATGTTTATCAGTACATATGCTTATATACATACGTACACGTATATATATGTACATTATATATACCCATATATATATACATATACATAACTATGCGTGTATACGCACGTACCATGTACGTATTTTATGCATGTGTTCAAATCCATCTTTGAGGGGATTCATGGTTCTACCGCAAAGATCGCATCGCACGCAACACAACGAAGCTGGATCACTTTCGGCGCTTCTGGCGCCACCCAGCACTCCTTTCCGCCACAACAGAGCTGCGGAGTTTTCCACAGTTTCCTTCCTTCCATCATCCGATGTCGGAGCCCGTCTCCGAACGCTTTGGCCGGTTGTGCTGCAACAGGCGCAAGGGCGGTATGTGGTTTTTCGGAAAGCCCCTTGTGCTTGAAGGGAAGCTGAAGGGAAGCCAAACGTGATGCCATGTCGTGAGAAGAAGAAGCAAAGGATTCGAAGGAATTCGCTCATCCGGCCGAGTGCCTTAGCCCCTTGCTGAGTTGACAACAGCAACTCTACGCCACGTGAGTTTGAGCCTCAAAGGGGGATCAAAGGGCTAAACTCAAGCCTAGGAACAAGCTGCACCTTGTGGGAACCAGCGGGCTTTGTCTTTCTCTTTCTCTTGTTGTCTCTAGAATTTATCTATTTTCTTTGTCTTTCATCTTTGTCTATATCTTTCTCTTTCTCTTTCTCTCTCTCTCTCTCTCTTTGTCTCACTCTGTCTTGCTTGTTTGCTCTCTTTCTATCTCATTAGTTCTCCCTTATCTAGGATCAACATTGGTGACTAAGGGTTTTCTGTATTATCATCTGCGACTACAACAATGGGAAATTGCACATTCGGGCTATTTCCATTTCCAGACAACATGTTCATTTGTTGGACCACTTTGGGGCATTTTCCAACATTGCCCAGCCAGCCGACAACCAATCAAGATAGTATGTTTGGAGTTGATTGCTCCACACAATTCTATGCTTGCGGGTAAACGGAGCATGTCATTTTGTGGGACCAAGCGTTTCGCCAACTTCTAGACCATCCAAGAATCTGGACCCCCCCCCCAGGGAAAAATATGTTCAAAAACACAAAAAAGAAAAACACAAAACAAGAAACAAATGACCCTCCAGACGGGGTTCCCCGACAAGATGACATCATGTTTCTGTTCCGCGACAAGCTGACATGTTTGTTTCCACCCGTCTGTCTCGGGCAACCCCACGTCCGGACCGACACCGAGCTCCGGGCGCGCGCGCGGGGTCTCCAGGCGCGCGCGGCCGGCACCTGCCGCGGCGCCTGAGCCAGCGCCGATAGAACCCGACAAGGCTGAGGAGGCGTCGGCTGAGGTTGACAGCGCGTCGGATGCCAGCAAGGACCGAGAGAGCGCGAAGGTTTTTGATTGTTTTTTGTTGGTTTGGTTGCCATTGGTTGCCCAGGATTTTTTTCCGGTGCCTTAGCTTTTCAGATCTTTGGAGGTGGTTTAGTGGATCGCCCGAAAGGTTGGGTTGGCTCTGATTCTTTTTGCCTTGGTTGCCCAGGATTTGCTTGGTTCCTTAGCTTTTCTCAATGAGGCCTTATGAAGGGCTATTAAGGCCGCCCGGTGGATTGGCAAACTCCATTTTGTCCCCAGTAATTATTCAATTCAGAAAATCTCTCAATTACCAACTGGCCCATTTGGACTTTCACAGAGAATCGCGGGGGTTCCTACAAGGAGTCAACTGAAAGCGGAGTTCGACCCGATTTCCCGGTGGTACCTGTCCGCTTCGGCTTCGCCTTTCCGATTCGCCAGGATCCACCAGAGCAGCCCACCATGGTGGACCGACCCAGGAGGACAAACAGCTCCAGAGGGACAAAAGGGCTCCTTAAAAGATACATTTTGCCCATTTGAAACCTGGCCTTTTCCACCAAAATATGGGGAAACCACCATTGACAAGGCAATGTTCAGGTGTTGTAAGGATCCCTGGAAAAGGGACAACACGTGAGGTGTGCGTTTCGCTAGCCTGACTGGTGCAAGGTTCTGAGCACACAGCAGAACAAGCTAGAACAAGTTACACCAGGGTGAAAGCAGGGCGCAGATGTATACTTATGTGTAGGGTACACCCACTTTTTGCTGCTTTACCCATTTGTGTCTGAAGTTTGCCCTTACTTATCCAGGCTGTACTTCCTTATCCATTGGCTTCATCTCGTTGAAAATAACTTAGTCAGCCTGCAGCGTATTAAAGTTGGACAACCTGTCTTCCTACGAATGGCCATCCTTGGCATAAGTCAAGTACATATGCATCAACTCTACTTCGATGTTCTTAAGAAAACATATGATTAACTTTGTACACGTAATCACTCTGACACTTTATGGACTTTAGCGATTGTAGATCTGAACACCCTCGCCACAAGAAACAAATACGAACAAACTCGGGAGTTTCACGCACGCATGCTTTTCAATTTGAATTACAAAGTTGATCGTATTAACACCGCAGTCACGTGCCATTATGATACATGGTGAAGAAACAAATGAAGTCTACAGGCGCTGGTAACGAGTTAGCATATCAACATTGTGCAGAGGCACTGTACCATAACAAGCTTCATGACATCAACCATATTGTATCAGAAGTCACTCTCATCAAGCATGCTCAATGCGGCAATGTAGCAAGAGCCTGAGTATTTACGAACATCAAGAACATTATGTTGATGCTTCCTCATTACTATTTACCTTGTTGCCATTGCAGAATTCCTTCAAGTACATGAAGGTTCGAGGTAATTATGCTCTATATACAATGAGATATCTGAAAGGGAGACATCCATAACACACTTGATGTTTACAACACATGCATATGAACATTTAGGTCAAATCATGTCAAGTCACAGGCACAAGTCTGATTTCATCGAAAGACATGGACAACACGCATTTGCTTTGGGACTACAAATGGTTTGAGTGAACACTGCAAACTCTTGAAATTATTGACTATGTTATATCGCCAAATACTGGAAAATGGCAAATCCCCAAGCAAAATGTTTAAAGGAACCCCCCTTTATGAGTGGATTCAACTATGTTGATGTGGATTATTGTATGAATAAGAAATGGTCAACAAGTACCTGCCCAATGACTGGATTTTGTTAAGCATCAACACGAAGAACTGTATAGAATGCCAGCTGATATGACTCGTGCTTTTGTTGTTTGCCTGCTTCAGGTCTCTCAGGGTTGACTGCATATTTTGAAGAATTCAACTTCGCTTTTGGAGAGTTCTGTGATTGTGTCTGTGTGCGTGTTGTGTTTTGTTTTGATGAATTATTCAGACAAGTTCAGGGCTTTGAACATAGCAATGCCACCCTGAAGCCATCGAACATCTACGCAAAGCGTTAGGCGAACATTCGAAATAAGCATGTTGCGAAAGTGGCCCCGTTTTCAGGTGAATTGTTGTTTCAAATAAGAATAATCAGGGCTCCTTAAAAGATACGTTTTGCCCATTTGAAACATGGCTTTTTCCACCAAAATAAAGGGACACCACACCATTTGCCAGGCAATGTTCAGATGTATAATGTAAGGATTCCTGATAATAATGATAATAATAATAAGGAAAATAGCAAGACAAAATCGTGGTCCATCACCAGCATCATGAGTGACCAGAGAAACCAGCAAACAGTATTACTAGCGAACTTGTTTCAACTCCTGTGATGGGGTGATGGTGGACAAATCCTGCAACAGGGCTGTATGGATTGAAATCTTACTGTATGATGGGCTAAGACGGTATATGTAAATTTCTTAGCAACCAGTGTAAAGCTGCTTGCATCTGATCAAAGCCGGTGACAGTAGGAAATATGTCCTAACGCAAGCGGACGAGCCGACCCTGCCCCGCTCACTATGGTAGTAACAGTTCTTGGGGTTGAAAGACAAATGGCTATGTTCAGACATGTGCAGTTGAACCATACTATACTCAATATACCCCTTAGCCAGTTCTCAAGACGTAACCTCTTACAGAGACAATAACGGACAAAAACAGCAAGTAACATGTAACGTATTTCAGCGGTTAGAAGGCTAAACAAAGGAAGAACGCAATGTAGCATACGCTTGGAACGCAAAGGTCTGTACAAGGAAGCACGCAAAGAAGGTATACTGCACAAATGACAGAGAACCAATCCCTCAAGAGAAATAGACACAAGACACAAAGCACAAACACATATTACAATAACAAATATGGCAACACACACGCACCACCCAAAGCCGAAAAGCAAAACAGCTCTAACTCTACTCAAACACACAAAGCACCAGCCCAAGGATGAATCAGGGGACAGCGCGCCCCGTTTCTATCCGCATCCAAGACGAGCGAACGCAGCCCCAAAAACACCCCTTTTCAAAACGCACAGATTAAAAACAGCAACAAACACCAGAACAGGCAACACACAGTAGCCCTGCCCTCAGCATAGTTTTGTATCATGTGTCTTTGCCAGTCTGGGGTGGGGTAAGACAATGGGAGCACGTGCTGAAACAAGGCTTCAATGGTCATCGCACACCACTCCGTGTCACTTCCTAGCCCACATGCCACTCCGTGCCACCCCGTGTGGTAAATTCAGAACCATCCCGGATTGCACGTCCCTGCATTTTTTACTGAGACGAGGCCAAGAACGTCAGGATACTCCTCACCCCCATAGCCACTTGTGTTTCCATCAAGATAAGACGCCCATGAAATGCGGGAGGAGTGACAACTAAACAAGTAAGTTGCACCTGTTTGCATATATATACTACATTTATATATCTCGCGAGACTACTACATACAGATGTATACAGCGGCAAAGAATATGGCCTCAAGTCCATACCAGGCATTCGGACAAACACGCGCTTTTTTTTTGGCAACGGCAACGCGACAGGACCGAGGCCGAGACGCCGGACGAAACGGGCAGCAGCGGGTACTTCTCAAACTCCAACAGCTCGAGAAGCGACAGCGAGGCCATTTTGGCCACCAGTTGGGGGGAGGCAATCCCTTGCAACTCTAACTGGGCGTTCAATTATCCCATAGGCTGGGGCACGCACACGCCCACGCACACGCCCCACGCCCACGCCCTCGCCCTCGCCCTCGCCATCGCCCTCGCTGACGCACACGGGCACGCACACGCACATGCACCCGCAGGCGTAGGCACAGGCACAGGCACAGGCGCAGACGCAGGCGCAGGCGCAGGCGCAGACACAGACGCAGAGACAGAGACAGAGACAGACAGACCAGACAGACCGAGACAGACTGAGACAGACAGAGACAGATAGAGACAGACAGAGACAGACAGAGACAGACAGAGACAGACAGAGACAGACAGACAGACAGACAGAGACAGACAGAGACAGACAGAGACAGACAGACAGACAGACAGAGACAGACAGAGACAGACAGAGACAGACAGAGACAGACAGAGACAGACAGAGACAGACAGAGACAGACAGAGACAGACAGAGACAGACAGAGACAGACAAGACAGACAGACAGACAGACAGACAGAGAGACAGCAGACAACACATACACACACGCACACAGAGACAATCAGAGACAGACACACCCACCCACCCACCCACCCGCGCACGCCCGCCCGCCCGCAAGCACGCACGCGCGCATGCACGCACCCACACACACACACAGACGCACACACACACA